TTTTTATTTTCCATGTCACTGTATCGGCCTGATGATGAATGACTGAAAACAAATTGTTTGCCAATATGACTTTACAATCTTAAATTGGAAATTTTTGCAGAATTTAAAATTTATCAGATATTTTCTTTCGTGGAATCTGCCGAATGCCCGTGAGGAAGCATGTCTACTACCAACCCCAAGCTCACTTTACTTTTTTAAGTTCTAGAGGACTGTCCGGGGCTTTCAACGTCCTGGGATCCAGTTAAATGAAATGAATGCCACTGTATATCATGCGCAAGCGCTGTTTGACAGTTCGACCATCACTTTCGACTATGTAAACCATGTATGCCCCAAAAGGCTGGGTGCAGGCACGGTGACTTCCATGTGAAATATTTTATACCGATAGAAGACTTTTGCTGCATGTATCACACTCTTGCCTAGTCTACTCATCCGGTCCTGATATCAATAATGAGTCAAGCTCATCGCATGTGAGATCGGGCGCAGGTGCCTGGCGCGGCGTGAGCCCGCGCCTTGGCGTATCACCTCACCCCACCACACCAAGGGACATTTGGTATGGGAGCGCATTGGCATTGACGTCTCTTGTGTCCTGATAAGGCTACTGCGTTTGTTCAGTGCTTCTACTGCGGGGTCCGATGTCAAAGCGCAATAGGATTCATTCAGACTCAACGCAGTCCAAATCAGTATGTCTCCTTTCGGCACACTACCCCACAGACGTAATTTCATTTAGTTATTCTGCCAGAAGTCTAGGTCCATCACGCATACCCTCACTCTGCTGGTGGCCGAAGCAATAGTTATGTGATCCTTTTAGCGTACCTGCATTGTAGTTGACTTCATTCGAGTATCAAATCATGCAATCGAAGCAGGAAAATACACATGGCTAAGGCAGACGTTTTTTGCCATGTAATCTGTGAATGAAACATAACAGTAAACACTAACACCATCAATGAGGGTCTTTAAGTCAATGCCTGAGTATTACAAAGTTTTCTGAAACAGTAAAGGGGATTGGCTGAATTTATTTGGTAATCCAAAAGGGAATTCGGCGGACAGCCAACAATGCTCTCCCCCTTTCTGTGTTCAACGCCCTCTGCGTCAACGTCAGGCCACTTCCCAGGCAGCTGTTTCAGACTCACTGACCTAAAGACCCCTGACCG